GCTAATAATGAAGTTGATTCAAGGGAAATGTTTTTATGGTGTTTACAATCCAAAAACTGTTGTATTAAGAATAATTCTCATTAATATAGCTGGGGAATTTAATAGCGACGTTGCTATGATATCCCCCGTTTTCTATGAGAGGAAAATTCTGCTGCATCTTCTATGATTTAATTTATTTATACAACCCATCAACGATATTATCTGCCTATTGTATTAAATGTTACTATAAAACAGCAACAATAATTATCTGCATAATGTATTGAATATTAGTATATGGTGTCGGGTTTCCGACAATATTAGAACCCACCGAGTGTGATATTTAAACCCCGCCAAGTTTGACACTGGAACACACCAAGTGAGATATTAGAGACCCACCATGTGAGATATTAGAGACCCACCAAGTGTGATATTAGAGACAAACTAGGTGTGATATTAGAACTCACCTTTTGTGATATTGGAACCCACCATGTGTAATATTAGAAACCACCATGTGTGATATTAGAAACCACATTTTGTGATATTAGAACCCACAATGTATGATATTAGAGACCCATCATGTGTAATATTAGAGACCCATAATGTATGATATTAGAGACCCACCATGTGTGATATTAGAAACCCCATCATGTATGATATTAGAGATCCATCATGTGGGATATTAGAACCCACCATGTGTGATAGTAGAAACCACCATGTGTGATATTAGAACCCCACCATGTGAGATATTAGAGACCCACCAAGTGTGATATTAGAACTCACCTTTTGTGATATTGGAACCCACCAAGTGAGATATTAGAGACCCACCATGTGAGATATTAGAGACCCACCAAGTGTGATATTAGAGACAAACTAGGTGTGATATTAGAACTCACCTTTTGTGATATTGGAACCCACCATGTGTAATATTAGAAACCACCATGTGTGATATTAGAAACCACATTTTGTGATATTAGAACCCACAATGTATGATATTAGAGACCCACCATGTGCGATATTAGAGACCCATCATGTGTGATATTAGAGACCCATGATGTATGATATTAGAGACCCACCATGCGTGATATTAGAGACCCATCATGTATGATATTAGAGACCCACCAAGTGTGATATTAGAGACCCATCATGTATGATATTAGAGACCCACCATGTGTGATATTAGAGACCCATCATGTATGATATTAGAGACCCACCATGTGTGATATTAGAGACCCATCATGTATGATATTAGAGACCCACCAAGTGTGATATTAGAGACCCACCATGTGTGATATTGGAGACCCACCATGTGTGATATAAGAGACCCATCATGTGTGATATTAGAGGCCCATCATGTATGATATTAGAGACCCACCATGTGTGATATTGGAGACCCACCATGTGTGATATAAGAGACCCACCATGTGTGATATAAGAGACCCACCATGTGTGATATTAGAGACCCACCATGTGTGATATTAGAGACCCACCATGTGTGATATTAGAGACCCACCAAGTGTGATATCAGAACTCACCTTTTGTGATATTAGAACCCACCATGTGTGATATTAGAACCCACCAAGTGTGACATTGGAACCCACTATGTGTGATATTAGAACCCACCTTTTGTGATATTGGAACCCCCCATGTGTGATATTAGAAACCACATTTTGTGATATTAGAACCCACCATGTATGATATTAGAGACCCAACATGTGTAATATTAGAGACCCATCATGTATGATATTAGAGACCCACCATGTGTGATATTGGAGATCCACCATGTGTGATATTAAAGACCCACCATGTGTGATATTAGAGACCCACCATGTGTGATATTAGAGACCCACCAAGTGTGATATTAGAACTCACCTTTTGTGATATTAGAACCCACCATGTGTGATATTAGAAACCACCAAGTGTGACATTGGAACCCACTATGTGTGATATTAGAACCCACCTTTTGTGATATTGGCACCCACCATGTGTGATATTGGCACCCACCATGTGTGATATTAGAACCTACCATGTGTGATATTAGAGACCATCTATGTTGCATCGTGATGCGGCTGAAAATTTTTGTTGAAAATCTGAATTTGAGAAAGTTATTGGAAGTGAAATTTTATCGATTGCAAATCTTCTGTTCCTACTTGATAATTCTCACCAACATTGGTCGCTGTTATTGATGTAGGCGTGTACCAGCCTGCGTCTTCTTCTTCTGAGAGCACAACACAAGGCGCTCGTGTCCTGCCAACTTGGCTTCAGCAGTCAGGTGCAAATAATACGACCCTGTACGCTACTGGCTCTGTCATACACACCACCACATGGCTCTGTCATACACACCGCCACATGGCTCTGTCATACACACCGCCACATGGCTCTGTCATACACACCGCCACATGGTTCTGTTATACACACCGCCACATGGTTCTGTTATACACACCGCCACATGGTTCTGTTATACACACCACCACATGGTTCTGTTATACACACCGCCACATGGTTCTGTTATACACACCGCCACATGGTTCTGTTATACACACCACCACATGGTTTTGTTATACACACCGCCACATGGCTCTGTTATACACACCACCACATGGTTTATCTCCACAACTGTGGACCTCACCTTGTAGGCAATATGTTCGTCAATCTATTGCCTCAATTGATTCAATTACCTGAATTGATTTAATTACAATGAGAATCAATTACCAATTGATTCTCGTCTGGTTTCCCCCTTTCAGACTGCCAAAGGTCTAGAAGTCATAATATTTGTGTCTGCTGCAACACGCTCAAAAATCAAGGACGCTCCATTGCTTCACTCTCTCTAGGTGATAAAAAGTACCCGTTCTGATCGTGCAATTCTGTTTCCAAGCAAACAATGTGGTGTTCATAAGCAAAGAAGAGAGTTTGTATGAAGGTAACGAAGCAATCCTCCCAATGTACAGAGAGAACCTTCCACAACTCTTGTGTTTCACTGTGACACTCACAGCAGCCTATAGAGTCAGCCGCTCAGCTTCTACATATACCATTAGATTATCTTCAGCATTTATTTCTTAACATAATTCCTCTTAAAATATTATTGTCACTCAATATTTTCTCCAAGTATCTACGGACGCAATCCGTCGTCCGGCACCTGACACATTTCCCAGGATGCTGCCGCTTTGTTTGATATGCTAGTTTGGGCTTTCCTGTTTATTGTTCATGTTCCCTAACGGTCTAACCATTGCCTAATTATGGGGATATAATTGTAGCAACAAGAACTTACACAGAATGTTGAATTACGCAAGAGAGAGGCACCCCAGTATGGAGTTTACACAACAGTCTTAGTGAAGAACTCTCTAGTTATTTTATACTGACTCTTCTCGCGTCTATTAATCAGCAGTTCACATTACACGGAATAGCAAATAAGCATTAGTGAGAGAGGGAGGGAATTATCATGAGAAACCACCAAGCTCCATAAAGACTATATAGCACTTGAAAGGGATCAGGATAAGGATTTGGGATGGTACGCGGGATTAGTTATTTAGTCTAGTTTATTTATTATGCAGCCCGTACCCATGCTGTGGGCATTAGTGGAAAGTGTTAAAGAGGCACATAATGGACTCAGGGACTGAACCCCACAATTCATTTAGCTAAACAACTTACAATCTTGATGACCTAGTTACAACATTCATTGGATATCGTCACATCAACAATAAGTTCGAGACCGACCACAAGTACTGTTTCTAAATTAAGCAACTGACATATGGGGAGAGCTAGTGTCACAATTCATATGTTTATTCTGCACACCGCCCCCCATCCAGTGGGCAGCGGTGGATAGGTTACAATAACTCATTTATTATCTACAGTTAGCAAACTGGGGATATTTGCGTAAGATTTCTAGTAGCAGATCATTATGAATGAAATATTTACACATCTCTTGAACATTTGTTATAAAATTGTCTCTGAATTCACATATTTTTTCGCACTCCATCACATAGTGACGGAGGGTGTGCGAATATCTTTGTTGACACAGTTTAGATTTGGTCAGGTCTACATCAGCAGATAATGAAAATTCCCAATGATACCTGTAACTGAGTCTAAGCCGAGCAGTTGTATCATCTAGAAGTCTGCTGCTTTTATTGGATATTCCATAAATGTGTGGCTCCTCTTGTAAGATAGTATATTGATAGATGGAATTACTGGTGTCGATTTCACTTTGCGTCAGATCTACAAGATTTTGTTGAAGTTCTTGGTGTACTGCTGCTCTCAGATTGCTTATTGACAATCCAAGGTTATACTCAATTTCTCCTTTAAAGGCAGATTCTTTGGCTAACTCATCATCTCTCTCATGCATGTGGAGGCCAACATGAGATGTAGTCCACATGAAATGGACTCTGTTACCATCATTAATAATTTTGTTGTATTTGTGTCTGGCTTCAGACACGAGCATGTTACAGTTATGTCTTAAAGAGTTGAGAGCAAATAAGGATGATAAAGAGTCCCTTACAATTAATGTATCATGTTTGGAGACGTACACATTTCAGTGCAAGAAGCAAGGCAAATAGGAAAGAATGGTGCCCAACCACTTGCACGGTCAGGGAATGAACACCAACCTGCATGAAGTGAGACCGTTGCTCTCCCGTCCACCTCAGGTGGTTGGGCTAAATATTAAGGAGTGTGAGAAAACCTGCCGGGCGGAGCGGCTTTGTCCCAGTTACCTCAGAGACCCACAACTCTTGAAGAGAATTTATTCCTGAAGAACTGTTTCGACACTTCAGTGTTACAAGTCAATGTTGCAACACCTCAGTGCTGCAACACTTCCGTGATATAAGAAGTGCAACACCTCAGTGTCACAATCCAAAGTTTCAACATGTCTCCATCCCTCTCCCGCTCTCTTTCTCTCCCTCCTTCCTTACTCTTCTACATTCACAAATAATATGGATTTCCCCTTCAATGTAGTTGGCTGTTATTCAATGTTAATGCGCCATAGAGTGGCCCAGCCGGAGATAGACGCCGCCGGGGGTTGTGTGGGTGTATATATATACCGTGCAAGATACAGCAGCTGATATACCTGCCAGAGACACCCGTCCACTTGGTCACACGGCCGCCACCTGCCGGAGGAGCCAGGCATTACCCTCCCGACGCTGTCATGGCCGCCTCCACCTCCCTCAGGGTCCTCACACTGCCCGTGGTCCTGGTTCTCTGCCTGGTGAGTCCCAGCACACTTACTCAACCGGAAAGAATATAACAGAAATTTGAGAAAAACGCAGATCAGGTGTTGAGCAAGTAATGAAAGAGGTTGTGTGAGTGAGGGAAAACAAAGTTCAGATTAATGTGACTCAATGTGATTGGGACTCATTCCCTATCTACTTGAGAATGATCCAGGACGGACCGAAATGTCGTCGTCCCTTCATTTTCTAGTGTGTAGTTTGGTCAACATATTTCAGCCACGTTACTGTGACTCCTCGTCTGCAATATGACTTAACAATCTGTCCTCACCACATGATGAAGATCTCTACCCTCGTTTGCCTTCTCAACTTTACATATATCTTAGCCTGGGAATGTTTCACTGATGCTTCACATTAACCTTGGATGATGTTGTGGCCTAAATATAAAACAAGAATTTTTTCTGGTATTTAAAAAACAATTATGAATACAATTTCTAAAATATGTTCTGAAAGGAGATGAAATTATTCCATCCACTCATGAGTTCTGCCTGAAAGTAACCTTGAAAGCTTCCCCAGCTCCTTAAGCTTAGAATTTATGCTTAATTTCATCGACTGTTTTTAAATAAATTACTGACAATTTTAGAAAAAGAAAGTAAATAAACTTGCTTTTTTTACGCATGAACGGACAACTTCTAATTCTTATTAACAGGATTTTTCCTTCCCATAGTTTCCTTCATACATCCTTATTATATGTTTCAACCATTTTGTTCGTATTTTTAAATACTTTTCGGTGCAAATGCTGTGGATTAGCTGAGATTAAGCAACATCTATAGTTCGTTTTAGTTTAATTATGTGATTAATTTGATTACATATTACATTACTTTATTGACACGAATGAACATATTCCTCTACTCGTCTCAGTTCCTGCGTAGTAAAGAAAATTCTAGTCACCAATACCGACAAAAATCATCATCTGAGGGCTCACATATTAGCATATATATTCTTGAAACATAGAAATGCTACACATCTACTCAGACCCTAATGATGTGCAGGTGAGACCTTCACTAAGTCAGACACACACTTGTAAATTATATGTAGATGGAAACCAAATTAGCGTTGAGATCATTTAGCCAATGTGCCTCCTATTATAATAAAGCTCACTAAGTGGAAAACTATGGTTGATAAATGAATAACTCACTCGCTACTCTCTCGACCACAGATGCAAACAGTTGTTTTTCCGTGTCCTAAATTTCATCATTATTATTTATTCGATGTATTGTTATGGTGCAATCAAGGCGTTATGCTGGCATTATGAAGGAGTGTGGACAGATACACCCACCGTGTATAGTGTGGACATGCCCACTGAACCTCGTAGTCTTCATAAAAACATTACTTGCAAATCACTTCGCTATCTTGCACGGTCCTTACAGCATCCTCACTCTCGCCTCTGTCGTGCTTTAACTTTTACCCCTCCTGCAGTTTCTGTTCCTTTTCACCACTTTCCTCTTTCTGTCCGTTTGTCTCGCTTACAAGATTCTCTTTCGGTTCGTCTTACTAATGTTTCTCCTCGTGTTGTTCCCTCCTTGCCCCCGTGGAGGGTCCCCTTTCCCAAATTTTGTACTTCCCTGATCCGCATCGCTAAAGCTTTTACCCCCTCCTGCAGTTCTGAAACGCCTTTTCCTTGAGCACTTTTCTTCACACTCCCACTCCGTTCCCATCTTCACCGATGGGTCTAAGTCTGCGGACGGTGTTGGCTACTCTGTTGTGTTTCCTGACCACACCTATATGTGTCGCCTTCCTCCGGAGACTAGCATCTTCATGGCAGAACTTTATGCTATTCTCTATGCTCTTCATCTCCTGCTCTCTCGTTGTCAATCTTCCTTTGTGGTTGTAGTTGACTCTCGTAGTGCCCTCATGGCTCTCGGGTCCTTTAATCCTGTCCATCCGGTGGTCATCGAGATTCAACATTGGCTGTTTCTTATCTCCAGTAAATTTATGTCGGTAGAGTTATGTTGGGTTCCCAGCCATGTTGGTGTCTCTTTAAATGAGCGTGCGGATGCTGCCGCTAAGGAGACTATCCGCACTTGTCCCATCTCCCATAAAGGTATTCCTTATTCCAACTGTTGCCCAGTTATTCATTCCTTCATCCTTGTCCGTTGGCAGGGTTGTTGGTCTTCTGTTACTGGTAACAAACTACGTACTCTTAAGAGTCGTGTGTCTCTGTGGCTTTCCTCCTAACACCGTAACCGGCGGTGGGAAACGGCTCTGGCTAGGTTACGTATTAGCCATACACGTTTAACTCACGGTCACTTAATGGAGTGCCGCCCTGCTCCTTTTTGTCTTAATTGCATTATTTCTCTTACGGTGCACATTCTTGTTGAATGTCCTGACTTCCAGGACGAGCGTGTGTCTTGCTTTCCCACCGTCTCTCGCGGTCAATTGTCCCTCGATAGATTTCTTGGTGAATCGGATACTTTTGACATCGTTCGCCTTATGCGTTACTGTTCTCGTATTGGCATCCTTGGTGATATTTAGCACCTTCTGATTATTCCACACATTTGATGGTGCTACATTGCCTTCCCGGTTTGGTGCCTTCTTTTGATAATTACTTACTACTTGCAAATCACTTTCTCTCTCTTGTGAAAGAGAATTAGAGGTCATGACTGACGGACCAGAGACCAGGCAGCGATGGATCAACTTGTGTAATCAAGCAATACACAGCTCGGGTTAATTACCCAGAAATGTCGGCGATAAACACACTATCATCGCCCTCCAATTATATTGGGCTGTGGGGAAGTTCTTCATAGACACCGCCAGCCAGTCCTCCTCGGCGTATATCGATGAGATTCGTGAAGGAAACGGGAAAGTACTCGTGTGACAGCAGGGTGTGACAGTACTGGTGTGACAGTACTGGTGTGACAGTACTGGTGTGACAGTACTGGTGTGACAGTACTGGTGTACTCACCTAGTTGTACTCTCCTAGTTGTGTTTGCGGGGGTTGAGCTCTGGTTCTTTGGTCCCGCCTCTCAACTCCCAATCAACTGGTGTACAGGTTCCTGAGCCTATTGGGCACTATCATATCTACACTTGAAACTGTGTATGGAGTACCCGTAAGTGGTACGTGATGAGGAAAGGTGTCGAGGCAATAAATAGGCAAGAGAGAGAGAGGTGAGGAGAAGAAAATCTTGGAGGAAGAAAGAGCAAGGCAAAAGGAACGAAAGGTGTGGTGTAATAAAGAGGAAGTAATAGGAATAAGAACATAAGAACAAAGGTAACTACAGAAGGCCTACTGGCCCATACGAGGCAGCTCCTATTTATACCCACCCAATAAGATGGGGATATTTACACATAGTAATATACAGATAGTAATAGTAGTATTACAGATAGTAATAGTAGTATTACAGATAGTAATAGGAATAAGAAGGGGATAGGAAAAAGTAAGCGATCGTGACAGAAAACAAAGGAAAGAACAGAAAGAAGGAAAGAGAAGGAAAGATAAATGGAAGGGTAAGCTTATGTTAGGTCACGTTTGTTAGAAAGTTTAGAGCATTTGAGTTTATGCTGAGAAAGGGAAGAGTCCACAGCAACAGAGCCAGGACTCAAGTTCATGTTCGGTACGTTGGGTAGTGTGTCAGAGCAGAGTCAACAAGACGGCGTCTGTGTAGAGTAGAGGCAGGAAAGTTTATTTTGGAGGAAATTTAATCAATGGGATGATTAGAATTCCTAACATGACAGAAGAGAGAACTATTATTACCTGCATGTTCTTGGTCGTCAGCAACTCCTGTAGTCACCATCACTATTAATACCCACATGTTCTTGGCCGGTGCCAATATGTGTTTCTTCTCTCATTTCGTATCTCAAGTTTTACAGTGTTTGAACTGTTATAACTTTTGTCTTTGAACTGTTTAAACTTTCATTATTTTTGCTCTCCCTAATATATATTACAACAAAATTCATATCCATTTTAATATTAGTTGAATTTATAGCTAATTGTTTAGTCAAAGTTGATTTGTTTTTGTACTGAGGCAGGTAATTGCTCCCCTGATTCCTTGTATGACTAACCATCCTGTGAGATGGGAATATTAGATGAACTCATAGCTAGTGTTTTATCTACACTGTATAATCTTTCATATAGAATGGAGTAGCAGCACATTGCTGTCTATACTTATGATTGTTAATAAAAATAAAAAATTAAAAATTTAATGTTGAAGTGCAATAAAATGTTGATATCTTTCTCAGAGGAGCCCAACCGTCACAGCCGTCCACCACTCGCATGTTTATGTTTATTATTATCATATACTTTTTTTTCTAATACAGAATATGTTCACTTGTTAACAGGTTGGATATATGATTTAAAACAATGGCAATTTTGTGTTTGAAAAATATCCAAAAATCGAGTTAAAGAGCTTTTTCGTGTGTAATTTTGTGTTTGCTTAAGGATTTAAAATAGCCCTTGAAGTAATTGTCTATGTCTGCAGGTATCACCTGAGCTCGTGCACACCAGTAAAACTGAAAGTTGTCCAGCAGCAGACTGTTCTGGCGTCGCTGATGGTCACATGGTGCCTGATCCCACAAACTGTCGTCAATTTTACTTCTGTGTGGGTGAAGAACCTACTGCAGAAGCCTTCCCCTGTGACGACGGCATGGTGTTTGACAGTGCCGAGAGTAAATGTGTTGTTGGAGACACATGTAGCAACATCTGCAGCACCTGTTCTTACGAGTGCCCTGACAGCCCTGAACCCCCGCCATACTTTTCTGACCGCTATGACTGTAAAATTTACTATGACTGTGGTTCAAAAGGTCAACATTCATGTCCTAATGACAACCAGTTCTTTGATGGATCTCATTGTCAGTCAGATGAGTCGAAGTGCTGCAGCTGTAAACCATACTGTTCAGAAAGTGATTTATATGGAGGTGTAATAGATCCTACGAACTGCAAGCGATATTTCTTCTGTAGCGAGATTGGCATCCCAGAGTATTCCACTGAATGTGTGAGTGGAAATTTTGATCTTATCAGCGGGACATGTTCTGACACGGCTCCATGCCTTACTTACTGTACCAACGTTGTGGGACCGGACGGATGCATCGACAGATACACCTGCGAAGTGCTTGGTAACCACGCGAAGTGTCCACAAAGATGCGACCCGCACTACTATCACTGCAGTTCTTCTAACATGGGCCAGGTCGTTACAGCTTCTAGTTGTTCCAGCGGACAATACTACCACCCGGACACAGGCCTCTGTGTTACTGGAGCTAACTGTCCATATCCAGATCCAGGGGAGTAATAGTTCAACTATTATCGTGGTCACACTCCCCATATGCACCCCATACACACCTCGAGGAGGCTTTTGAACAGTGTTTGCCATGTATGTAGTGTCTAAGCTGTAATACAACGTAATAAATTTAATAATAAAATAATGAATGAAAAATTCAAAGGTGGTAGAAGAAAAAAATACTAATGTTCAGGGTGAGTCTGCAAGGTTTACTTTAAATGCAGTTTATTCTCTTCTTCGCGGCCAAGGGTCTCCACAATTACATCAGAGGTGGCACCCCTATCCATTTATCTATATATATAATTGTTATATATATATATATATATATATATATATATATATATATATATATATATATATATATATATATATTTCATTGAATATGACCGCATATTCTGTGTTTATTATTTTCTGGTTTAGGGCTTCTATCGCTCTAACTATTTTCTTAGCATCAGGGCTTAATTGAAATAGGAGTTCTCCAAAACTCATTTTCATACTTTTGAGGTGAAGAAAAGAAGTGATTTACTATAGAGTGTATTACACTTATTTATATAATTTGCACAACGTTTCGAACCTCCATGGTTCATTCTCAAGTGAACAGATCTTACAATACTAGTTGATTTTATACCCGCACTGGGTCAGGTGATAATACAATAAAGGTGAAAACATGGGGGGATACATAAGGGATAAATGTGAGGTGAAACATAGAGGTTGCAGAAGGCTTATTATCACCGGGTATAAAATCAACTAGTATTGTAAGATCTGTTCACTTGAGAATGAACCATGGAGGTTCGAAACGTTGTGCAAATTATATAAATAAGTGTAATACACTCTATAGTAAATCACTTCTTTTCTTCACCTCAAAAGTACGAAAATGAGTTTTGGAGAACTCCTATTTCAATTAAGCCCTGATGCTAAGAAAATAGTTAGAGCGATAGAAGCCCTAAACCAGAAAATAATAAACACAGAATATGCGGTCATATTCAATGAAACATGTTTGAAAGAAAACCTGCTGCCAGTATACACCAATATATATATATATATATATATATATATATATATATATATATATATATATATATATATATATATATATATATATATATATATATATATATATATATATATATATATATATATACATATAAAGGGGTACCACCTCTGGTGCAATGGTAAGGACCCACAGCCTCAAAGAAGGGAACACAGGACATTCAGAAAAATACTTGCCATATATCTTTGAATACGTATGAGTGTTCACTTCTCCCACCACCCCCCTTTTTTATGTTGTACACTTTATTATACATGGTTATACACTTACATATCTGATTGTTTAAAAAAAAGTGAACATTAAGAGGGATATAAGAGGAAGTTTGTTTCCTAGATGCTGTAGATTTTTTCGAAGTCCTCCGACGCCGGGCAGGAACCGAGGACGCAGCGGGCTTTTCCCGTCTGGATCTCTTCACAGAGGCGCTGGAAGAGAAAGCTTGCCAGTTTAGGAGATCTTGTAGTGTCAATGAGCCTGGAACCAAGATCCTTAAGAAACCTTCTTGCATATATATATTTTTAAGCATATACCTTATATGAACAAATCCAAAAGGGCCGTGACGAGGGTTAGAACCTGCGTCCGAGAGCATCCCAGACGCTGCCTTAATCGACTGGGATGCTCTCGGACGCAGGTTCGAATCCTCGTCACGGACCTTGTGGATTTGTTCATTTGATGCATCACGCTATTGTGATTTCTGTGTGTAATACCTTATATGCGTAAACACAGAAAGAAAGCCTACGAATAATTTATCTTATGTTCATTTTTTTCTCAGGGCATAGATACAATGTAAAACAATCCATTTTTTCCTCTATGTATCTAAGAGCTCTTTGGGTTGTTAGTCCAGAACTCTTAGATGAAGAGTTTAAGAATATTGATTATATTGGTCTCAAGCTTTGTTATCCACTGAGTTTTTTTTTTGACGTTTGACGTAGCAAAGCACGTCGTACATATTATAATAATATATGCAGTGAGAAAATTCGCCCAAGGAATGTGTTATGTTTACCATATTTTTCTGGGTTTGAAAATAATGCCAAGGCCTTGAAACTTTTTTATATACATGTATTGTTTAATTATGAAAATACTGTTCGAAATCTATTAGTTAGAAACAGTCCTCATAGTGATAATTGTGGCATTTATAAAATACCTTGTAAAGACTGTAATAAGTTCTATGTTGGGTAAACATCTAAAGATTTGAAATGTAGAATTTCGCAACATAAATATTCTGTAAGACATGACCAATTGTCTAATGTTTTGTTTGTTAATTTGTCAGAAAATTCTCATCAAATTGATTGGGAGATGGCTTTTTCAATAACGAACTGAAAAAAAGCATTTTCAATAGGAATATAATTGAATCTGCTTTAATACAGATTGCAAAATCATGTAATTTGAATATTAGCAGTTGTTTATATAATTTAGATCCATTTTTGAGAGATCAGTTAAAGGGCGATTTGAGTAGGATCATTGATGCACATTTGTCTCACTAATTCATTGTCAATATTTACTATCTGATGTTATTATTATCCATGTATGGGCCTATTGATGCAGCTCTTATTTTGTGGGCCCTAAACCTGTAGTGGGTATAAATAGGAGCTACCTCTGGCTAATAGGCCTTCTGCCCTTCTTATTTTATATCTACCCAATTCCCATTCATATATTTGTCATTGTACCTCACTTCACTTTACCTTTCTCTCTCTCCTGTCTATATATGTCCAAAACTTATTGACTTGTAAACATTCCTTCTGAAGATGTATTTAATATACGAAAGAACTTAAGGAAATTCCTGTTTCAATTCTTCCTCCGTAGTCTGACACAGTCAGACCACACAATATATATATATATATATATATATATATATATATATATATATATATATATATATATATATATATATATATATATATATATATATATATATATATATATATATATATATATATATATATATATATATATATATATATATATATATATATATATATATATATATATATATTATTAAATATGACCGAAAAAGTAAGATTAATAATTCTAACACGAATTTTCTCAATCTTTCGTACATTACGCTTCACTGTTGGAGGTAAATCAAAAATCACTTCTCCAAAATTCATTTTTATTTCTAGTCTGACGCGACACGGGCGCGTTTCGTAAAACTTATTACATTTTCAAAGACTTCACAAATACACAACTGATTAGAACTTACGTATCTCTGATTTTATATCTACATTTGAGTGAGGTGGGAGGGGTGATGTGGCATTAACACAAGACAGAACAAGAGGGGATATTAATAGGGTATTAAAAGTATCAACACAAGACAGAACAGAAACAATGGGTATTGAATAGAAGTGTTTGTAGAAAGCCTATTGGTCCATATTTCTTGATGCTTCTATATTGGAGCAGAGTCTTGAGGTGGGTAGAATATAGTTGTATATACACAACTATATTCTACCCACCTCAAGACTCCGCTCCAATATAGAAGCATCAAGAAATATGGACCAATAGGCTTTCTACAAACACTTCTATTCAATACCCATTGTTTCTGTTCTGTCTTGTGTTGATACTTTTAATACCTTATTAATATCCCCTCTTGTTCTGTCTTGTGTTAATGCCACATCACCCCTCCCACCTCACTCAAATGTAGATATAAGATCAGAGATACGTAAGTTCTAATCAGTTGTGTATTTGTGAAGTCTTTGAAAATGTAATAAGTTTTACGAAACGCGCCCGTGTCGCGTCAGACTAGAAATAAAAATGAATTTTGGAGAAGTGATTTTTTATTTACCTCCAACAGTGAAGCGTAATGTACGAAAGATTGAGAAAATTCGTGTTAGAATTATTAATCTTACTTTTTCGGTCATATTTAATAATATATGTCTACAGGAAAGACTGCTACCAAAATATACTAATATATATATATATATATATATATATATATATATATATATATATATATATATATATATATATATGTCGTACCTAGTAGTCAGAACGCACTTCTTTGCCTACTATGCAAGGCCCGATTTGCCTAATAAGGCAAGTTTTTATGAATTAATTGTTTTTCAACTACCTAACCTAACCTAACATAACTTTTTCAGCTACCTAACCTAACCTATGAAGATAGGTTAGGTTAGGTTAGGTAGGGTTGGTTAGGTTCGGTCATATATCTACGTTAATTTTAACTCCAATAAAAAAAATTGACCTCATACAGTATGAAATGGGTAGCTTTATCATGTCATAAGAAAAAAAAATAGAGAAAATATACTAATTCATGAAAACTTGGCTTATTAGGCAAATCAAGCCTTGCATAGTAGGCTGAGAAGTGCGTTCTGGCTACTAGATACGACATATATATATATATATATATATATATATATATATATATATATATATATATATATATATATATATATATATATATATATATATATATATATATATATATATATATATAAATATATATATATATATATTTATATATATATAAGTGCAAACAAGCCTGAATGGTCCCCAGGACTATATACAACTGAAAACTCACACCCCAGAAGTGACTCGAACCCATACTCCCAGGAACAACGCAACTGGTATGTACAGGGACGCCTTAATCCGCTTGACCATCACGACCGGACATAAGGAAGTGATAGCCGAGGCTATTTGAACCACTTCCCCGCCGGCACTCGGATGGTAATCTTGGGCATAGCATTTTATCAAATCACCTCATTCTTTGGGGCACACGTGAGGAACACAAATGCAAACAAGCCTGAATGGTCCCCAGGACTATATACAACTGAAAACTCACACCCCAGAAGTGACTCGAACCCATACTCCCAGGAACAACGCAACTGGTATGTACAGGGACGCCTTAATCCGCTTGACCATCACGACCGGACATAAGGAAGTGATAGCCGAGGCTATTTGAACCACTTCCCCGCCGGCACTCGGATGGTAATCTTGGGCATAGCATTTTATCAAATCACCTCATTCTTTGGGGCACACGTGAGGAACACAAATGCAAACAAGCCTGAATGGTCCCCAGGACTATATACAACTGAAAACTCACACCCCAGAAGTGACTCGAACCCATACTCCCAGGAACAACGCAACTGGTATGTACAGGGACGCCTTAATCCGCTTGACCATCACGACCGGACATAAGGAAGTGATAGCCGAGGCTATTTGAACCACTTCCCCGCCGGCACTCGGATGGTAATCTTGGGCATAGCATTTTATCAAATCACCTCATTCTTTGGGGCACACGTGAGGAACACAAATGCAAACAAGCCTGAATGGTCCCCAGGACTATATACAACTGAAAACTCACACCCCAGAAGTGACTCGAACCCATACTCCCAGGAACAACGCAACTGGTATGTACAGTTGTATGTATGATTTGATAAAATGCTATGCCCAAGATTACCATCCGAGTGCCGGCGGGGAAGTGGTTCAAATAGCCTCGGCTATCACTTCCTTATGTCCGGTCGTGATGGTCAAGCGGATTAAGGCGTCCCTGTACATACCAGTTGCGTTGTTCCTGGGAGTATGGGTTCGAGTCACTTCTGGGGTGTGAGTTTTCAGTTGTATATAGTCCTGGGGACCATTCAGGCTTGTTTGCATTTGTGTTCCTCACGTGTGCCCCAAAGAATGAGGTGATTTGATAAAATGCTATGCCCAAGATTACCATCCGAGTGCCGGCGGGGAAGTGGTTCAAATAGCCTCGGCTATCACTTCCTTATGTCCGGTCGTGATGGTCAAGCGGATTAAGGCGTCCCTGTACATACCAGTTGCGTTGTTCCTGGGAGTATGGGTTCGAGTCACTTCTGGGGTGTGAGTTTTCAGTTATATATATATAAATATATATATATATATATATATATATATATATATATATATATATATATATATATATATATATATATGCAAACAAGCCTGAATGGTCCCCAGGACTATATGCGAATGAAAACTCACACCCCAGAAGTGACTCGAACCCATACTCCCAGGAGCAACGCAACTGGTAACTACAGGGCGCCTTAATCCACTTGACCATCACGGCCGTCAAAAGGAAGTGATAGCCGAGTTGTGTTCCTCACGTGTGCCCCAAAGAATGAGGTGATTTGGTGAAATGCTATGCCCAAGATTACCATCCGAGTTGCCGTCGGGGAAGTGGCTCAAATAGCCTCGGCTATCACTTCCTTTTGACGGCCGTGATGGTCAAGTGGATTAAGGCGCCCTGTAGTTACCAGTTACTTACTTAGTTGTAGTTACCAGTTGCCACTTACTTGTATAATCAAACTAAAACGGCAAATTCATTGCCAACACAATAACATTCCATACCCTCATCTACACCAAAGTGTTCCATGAACATCAGAAAACGTCCAGGTTGTAGAGATATGACTCTTGAAGCTGGAACGGGAAAGATATAGTGGTGGGACACCGTCACAATGGCCAATACGTACTATCGCCAGAGCCGTTGCCCACCGCCGGTCATGGTGGTAGGAGGAAGGCCATGGGAACACGCTTTTCTTAAGAGCATGCAGTTTGTTACCAGTAACAAAAGATCAACAACCCTGCCAACGGGCAAGGATTCAGGAATGAATAACTGGGTAGAAGTCAGAATAAGGAACACCTTTACAGGAGATGGGCCAAGTGCGGATAGTCTCCTAAGTGGCAGCGTCTGCACGCTCATTTAAGGACACCAATGTGGCGGGGAACCCAGTAAAACTCCACTGTCTTAAATCTGCTGAAAATAAGAAACAGCCAATGTTGAATTTCGACAACCACAG